AGAACGTTCCCCACCCACATGTGACCCTGCAGATTTAAAATCAGCCTTCCCGTCCCCGCGGGTAATAGGTACGGCCCGTAGAAGTTTGGGCGGGTAAAGTTATTATCACAGGAGCCACATAAGCTAGAAGGCTGAAATTATGTGGACATGTTCCCTGCTCACTTGCTACCCAGGAAATTTAAATTCAGCTTTCCCCTGCCCGTGGGTAACATGTACGACCCCGTGAAAATTTTTGCGGGTAAATTATTATCTCGGGAACCACTGAATATATAAAGCTGAAATTTTAGTATAATAACTCCCTGTCCACGCTCAGCCTTGCCTATTCAAATTCAGCGTTTCCGCGCTTCCGGGTATCACCTGCGGCCCCGTGAAAATTTCGGCGAGTAAATTATTATCTCGGGGACCGCGGAAGTTGAGAATCTGAAATTTTGGGGAGATTTCCTCTACAAACGTACGACCTCGCAAATTTGAATTCAGCTTTCACGCACCCCTGGGTACCATGTACAGCCCCGTAAAAGTTTTGATAAAGAAATTATCTCGTTTGCGTGAAATTTTTAGTAGGAAATTCTGCAACTTAAGAACCAGACATTTTAACTATTTTTGCACAGACCAAAGTGCAAAACAGTGGAAATCATTAGCAGGCAATCGTTCGGTGAACGGAATTGCACAAAACGCATGATCGCACCGGATGCCCTGGTGCGCGCCGCTATTTATTTTGCTTTCGTTCGGCTCAGGTATGACAAGATTTTGTCTTTTGTTCTGGCATTTGCATTTGCTACCGTTTCAGATCACTCATGTGCTTACCGTAGCGGCAGTAGGCATTCCGGAAGAGAAAAGCGTACCCGGAGTGCGGTACATGTTCATTTTCGCTTTGGATTTACCCAACCAGGACATGTTCGCCGACAATGCACTGGGTATGCGTACAACGTAAATTTGGCGCACTTTTCTCAAAAAATATTTGAATTTCGAAATATTGGCTTCTTTTTCAACAGCTGTTTAGTATATGTAATATGGTGGACTGGCATTAGTATATGTGATGAAATATGTATGTAATTCAAGTATATATAAATCTGTTAGTGCATGTGATTCAGTAAGTAGTGAGCTGATGATTTCCTTCCTATTCAGAATAGGTTGTTATTTGTGTTTACAGCTAAGGGATGAGACATAGTCCATAATAGTTTTCCAGTACTTTTTTTTCCAAAAAATGTGACTCACATAGCTCCTTTTCACAATTTTTCCCTTCAGTCTTTCTTAGTCTTTCACTCCACAATCTTTC